ATATATATATATATATATATATATATATATATATATATTATCCAGTTCAGTTAATTAGTATTTTTTAAAAATGAGTATTTCTCATAACTAGGATTTCGTATATACTCTAATTTTGAGCCAAAAGGTCAATACTAGAATTTCTTTTACTACATGTGACTTTTCCTGCGAATTTTTCATAAAAATTTGCAGGAAACGTTGTTCCTACAAATTTTTCTGCGAAATTTTATTTGCAGGTAATACCTTTGTCGATAATATATTTTTGCGAATTTTAAAATTCGCAGGAAATTTTCCAGCGAAATTTCTTGTGAAAAAAATTTGCAGGAAAGTTTCCTGCAAAAAAAAATTGCAGGAAATTTTCCTGCAAAAAAAAATCCGTAGGAAAATTCGAAAGAAAGTTTCCTATAAAAAAAAATTATTCTGCAGGAATATTTTTTACAAAAAAATTAAAAAAATAAATTATATATTTTAAGAATTCATAATCTTTTATTTTCATGCCTCGTATATAATCTTTTAAATTCTAAGATTGTAGATTATAAGTCTAACACTCAACCATACAATTCAACTTGTAAGGTAAGTGTTGCCTCAACTTATATACTCTTTAATTATTTTATTTTCAATCGATGTGAGACTTGAAGATTTTTTAAAATATTAAACTTATGAATTTAAATATTTTTTTATTTTTCCTGCAAATTAAAATTTGCAGGAAAATTTGCAGGAAAAGTTATCTGCAAAATTTTTCTACCATTTAGTAAAAATTACTTGCGAATTTATTTTTGCAAGAAAATTTGCAAGAAACAAAATAAAATTCTTACAATATTTTCTGCAAATTTTTACCATGTATTTTTTTTCTCATGATTATTAAAATTGTAGCAAAATTTGTAAGAAATATCTGTAAATTATTTTTTGCAGGAAAATTGGCAAAAAATTTCTGCGAATATTTTTTTGCAGGAAAATTCGCAAAAAATTTATGCGAATATTTTTTTACAGGAAATTTCGCAAAAACTTTCTACGAATATTTTTTTGCAGAAAAATTTGCAGAAAAATTAGACTTTTCTAGTAGTAGGTTTAAATAACATAGACATATAATAAAATGTATTTATAATAGCAAAGATAATAAAAAATATAAATAAATGTTAATGAAATGTAAATTTTTTATCCAATGTTAATTAGCACTTTAAAACATGAAATCATAGTCCAATTAAATAAAATAAAGAATTTTAATTAGATGATAATTGATTTTAAGAACTCAGATTACACATGGAATTGCTAAAATTAATAGAAAATACTAAATATATATAACAATATAATATACAATAAAGTATATAATACAATAATTACAATATATAGCTTTTAAATAAAATATTTAATATACATCCCTTGGTGTAAGTAAAGCAACAATAAAATGAGTTAACATAATGGTTAAACACTATGTTATATATTGTAAGTAAGAAATTTTGTATTTGATTATTTTCATACGAAAAATAAATTCAAAATACATTACTTTAAAAGAGATCATTAGTGTCTGATTTTATTGAATAGAAATCTTTGTGCCATGAAAAATGAAAAAAAAAAAAAGCAACAATAGTATTTATTAAAATATAAAAGATTTATATGTGACACGTGAATTTATCGTTGATTGGTTAAGTAGCATGCACAAGTACAACCAGTGCATTAATATTGTGTATATATATACAAGAATTTCTCCATATGCAATTGAGGAAAAAAAATGTAAAGGGCAATACGTAGGTGTACTTTTTGCAATTTCGGAGTTAATTATGACCTCTGTTCCTAAACAGACCGGTAAATATAGACGTCTAATTAACTAAATTGAATAATTTGACAACAATAATATGCTAAAATATAAAATAATCGATTCTGCTTTGTGCTTACACTC